GTCTCTGCTGCCCTCTCCCGCCAGGCGCCAACGTTACCATGTGATGCTCTCACTTCCCGAGTTCAGACACTCAGTTTCGGGCCAGTGTGGCTTCCCTCTCTTCCAGGACCCCACGCTCCACAATCAAGGCGCTCAACTTGCTCTGCCTCATCTCATGACTTTTGAACTGTGCTTTAGAGAAATAGTAAGAACAAGGCATTATCAATTGTATAGATGTGTCTGAATATTGTAAATGTTTGCCATCATATTTCTGTGTAAAAATTGTGCTTCATGTGCTTTGTCTATTTACCTATATAGACCTTACTGGTTTCGTTTTTCTTTAAACGTTTTTTCTTTGTTTAGAGATAGGGTCTTGCTCTGTAATCTAGGCTGGACTACAGTGGCAAAATCGCAGCCGGCTGCAGCCTCAAATCCCAGGGCTCATGCAATCTTCCTGCCACAGCCTCCCAAGTAGCTAGGACTACAGGTGTGCACCACCACACTGGCTTTTTTCTTTTTTTTTCCTGTAGAGACGGATTTTGCTATTTTTCTCAGACTGGTCTCAAACTGCTAGGCTCAAGCAATCTTCCTGCCTTGGCCTCCCAAAGCACTGAGATTAAAGGCGTGAGCCACTATGCCCAGCAGATTTCTTCTTGATTAGTTTATGCTCTGTGTGTGTTAAAGGTAGCAATACTTTGGCTTAAATGTTGTAGATGATTTCTTGATATCTTCTTGGGTTCTTAACTTCTTTTTTCTTAATAGAAAATTGTATGTTGTTGATTTAGAAAGCCTGAACCCCTTGCTACTTTTCTATTTCCTCTGAGCCCCATTTTTCTCTGAGCTTTTTGCATTCCTGAATTTCTCCATTCCTCTACTCCAGTGGTTCTCAGTCAGGGGTGATTTTGCTCCTCCCCCTATAAGTCTGGCAATGTCTGGAGACATTTCTGATTCTGCAGACTGGGTAGGAAAGTATGATTAGCATCTGGTGGGCAGAGGCCTGGGACACTGCTACACACCCTGCAATGCACGAGATGGCCCCGCGACAAAAGGTTATCCAGCCCAAAGTGTCGCTAGTGCCAAACCCTGCTCTGGAGTCTCTCAAATGCTTCACAGTTATTCTTTTGATTTCTTCCAAAACAAGACATTAGAAAAGAAAGGCTAAAAGAGGAATATTTTTAACGTAGGCAATGACTTTCTCTAAATCCTAGGTCTGAGTTACAAATATTGGTCATAGAACCTTTTAGAATCCAAAAACGTTGTCAAAAAGACCAACCAAGAAAACCCTGTCTTTGTTATTTCCACAAAAGAAAGTCATAGCTGTGTTCTTGACATAAAGAGACTCACCTAATCCATAAAGTTTTAAATCTGTGTTGCCATACGGTCAAGAATTCATATCTAGATGACCTAGGTCCATCTGTGCTATCTTAAATGCCAATGAAAGAAAAACGCAATTAATAATTTAATTTTTTCAAATCCTATAAGGCCAGTACCAAGGTACTAAATGTAAATATATACATACATATATATAAATGTACATATATAAAATACATAGTTTTAAAAATAAAGAATGGTATTAAAAATAAAATCATTGCTTTCTTGGAATTCAGGCCTTTGAAAGAAAATACATATATAGCAGCATGACATGAAGCAACTTAACAAGATATGTAAGATAGAAAGAAAGGAGAGTTTTCTCTTCACAAACACAATATATATTTTCTTGGTTACAGATGTGCTACTTGCCTGCCAGAAGAGTCTACTATCATTTTCACAAGTATTCAATTCTCAGAACCAAGGGACTTCACAGCCTCCTCTGCCCAATCGACGCGGTGTCTCACGGTGTCCGTCTGAACGTAATCCTATCCCACTGATGGATTTGACATCTATTTCTGCCACCATTGCACAAGAACACAGCAGACTGCTGAATGCAGTAAGACTTATCTAGACGCTAACGGCCAAGCAAAATCTATACTGACTTCCTTTTCTTCCGCACAATACCTTTTAAAAAGTACCATAAGTAAAACAGTGTTCTCTTGGACACAGGAAGGGGAACATCACACACTGGGGCCTGTCGTGGGGTGGGGGGAGGGGGGAGGGATGGCATTAGGAGATATACCTAATGTAAATGACGAGTTAATGGGTGCAGCACGCCAACATGGCACATGTATACATCTGTAACAAACCTGCACATTGTGCACATGTACCCTAGAATGTAAAGTATAAAAAATAAATAAATAAATAAATAAATAAATAAATAAATAAATAAATAAATCAGTGTTCTCAAGACCTGTGATTTTCAATGAGAAATTGCTGAACACATTAGGGAGGCTTCTTGCGGTCTTGATTTCCTAATGAGCTATGGGAACTTACATAATGAAGAGAATTCTTCTTGCCTACTTAGGTTTCAAAAGCCTACGAAGTCTGTAAATTCTTTTTCCTTTCCAACAAACACTAAACCTAACTTGGTATTCGAGACTTTAACCTCTCCATTTCAAATGCTTTAGTTTCAGTCCTGACTCATTACAAGAAAGGAGCCTGTTAGAATCGCAAAATAATAATGATGATGAAATTGTAGCAATAATGATAATAGCAGCTAACACTTACTGAACTGAGGCTTACTGTGTCTCAGATACTATTCTAAATGCTCTATCGGTGTAAACTCACATAATTCTATGATAAGCTACAAAGCAGATCATCATCATCATAATCAATCCCATTTTATAGACAAGAAAACTGAAGCCCAGGAGTGTGAACAGTTTTTTCTAGGTTAGAAGCAGAATTGAAATCAGAAAGCCTGATTGTAAAACTCACGGTCTTAACCACTTTTCTGCCTCTCTGATTACCACGCTCTCAGCTTTTAACGTGACTGAATCTGACACTCATCCTTCATTACACCATCAGACCTACAGCTCCCTCTTCTTAAGGCCTATCTGCACGAGCATGTACCTGTTCGAACAGCTCCCAGTACCAATGCGCAGAGGTTTGTCTAAGTAAACAGCAAATTTGGTTGTAAAAATAAAAACAAAAGAGAATATCATTTGCTTTGTAAAGGTAACGATTGATTATTCTCAACGCAATACCAGAAACGTGACAATCACAAGGTAGTCACCAATTTATCAGAGAGAAAGAAAGCACGAAGTGTATCTCTCCGTCTCTGACAGAAGTTCCTTTCTTCACCTCGGGTAAAGATCGGGAGTCCCCCTTCTACTGCCCTTGCTGCCACCAAACAGCAAAGTTCAAGGAAGACAGAGGAGCTTTGAAGCCTGGTGACGTGGGTGCAGAATTCTACTACGTCTTTTTGTTTCAGTACAAAATACAACTCTACCCTGAAGAAAGACTTAGAGTGAATCTTCCCATGGTACAGACGGTATGTTCTGATTCCTGATCACCCACACTGCCCCACAGAGCCCCTGAAACAGACTGTCTGTAGTCAGGTAATGGGAGGTGACGAAGTGGCCTCACAGAAGGACTAATGTCCATACGCTCAGGTTCGTACAGCCACAAAAATACCTGCCTGGCCAACCAGTCGCCCAGTCTAGTATAAAGATTGGTCGTGCAGATGTGTGGAAAGACAGAAGTCCAGGCAATGCTTCTTGGAAGGCGGGATATTTATTTATTCATCATTATATTCTTGATCAGCCTCCATATACCCTGATGTAATTATCACTCCATTGATGAAAAGCTATCTCAATTAAATTCTATTGCTTTCTCAGCAATACAGGCAAAAATTTTACACATCAAGATTTTTGTTTGTATATTTTTATTCATTTTTCAGCAAATCAAAACCCATTCAAATGGAAAATGGAAAGATGGAAAAACGAAACTGCGCATTTCAATGTGATATCGAGCATAGGATATCAGCAGCTCACTTTGTGAGCTCTATGTTGCTTCGACATTCTGTCTGTGACCTCTTGGAAGGTTTGACTGGTAGGAGCACAGCACTTCAAATTGTGACATAATCAGGGTTTCCTCTCCTGGGTTTAGAGGGACACTGATAGCTGGAAACATGAACATCCGCAGCAACGAAGAGTAAGCACTGCTGAACACAGCCATAGACTGTGGTCCTTGGTTAAATAAATGGAAGTCTAAATCAAACGACAAGAGAATTCAAATTCATGATCATTATGAAGCAAACGCATTGCTGTACTTAAGACATTAGTCCCTCCACAGAGAGGCTGTCACCTCTTTGCACAAGTCAATATGGGCAAAAATTGTTTTCAAAAGCCAGGTTGGTTCTCAAACATAAAAATGCATCTATCAGAGAAAAATGCTTTCTCAAGCATCGCTACACAAAGATGTTCATTACAGAAATATTTGTTATGGTGGAGAATGAGGACCAATGTCTATCCATAGGAGATGAAGTATGAGAATTACAGTGCACAGTGAGGGGTAAGAACGTGGGTTCTGGAGCCACGCAGCCTTGCTTTAAATCCTGACTTTGACACACACTAACAGTGTGACCTGAGGCAACTGACATAACCTCGTAAATCTTGGTTTCCTCGTCTGTATATAAAGAGTTCAGTAAAACACCTGACATATACGAACTCAATAAATGTTAGCAATTATTATTATGCTACGTTATTATGCTATGTATATGGACATTTGAAAAAGATAGGGCTGTATCTACTAGCATAGAAAGATGACCTGAGTCATTGTTGAGTAGGAAAATGTTACCAGCAAATTGTAGATGGGTATAACTGATACAACTCTACATGTGCACATGTTGTGTGGATACACATGGAAAGTATTTGGGGATACACACCAAATGGTTACAATAAATCCCCTTCAAAAATTAGGAGTGGCTGGGGAGCGGAAGGCTTTCACTTCTGCACTTTCCAGGGTGCCAGGGTAATACCACCTCGCAATAGTAAATAGCAAAAATAACAGCCTTAACTCTAGATTTTCTTATCTAAATTTTAATTCTGTGAAGAATTTTCCATTTCCCCTTTTCACATCAGGATACAGAATGCAATTTAGAAAGAGTGAGATCACTTGTTAGACTGTACAATTTTTTTTTTTTGGGGGGGTACCAAATTTCTTTATTTGAAGGAATGGTACAAATCAAAGAACTTAAGTGGATGTTTTGGTACAACTTATAGAAAAGGTAAAGGAAACCCCAACATGCATGCACTGCCTTGGTGACCAGGGAAGTCACCCCATGGCTATGGGGAAATTAGCCTGAGGCTTAGCTTCCATTATCACTGTCTCCCAGGGTGTGCTTGTCAAAGAGATACTCTGCCAAGCCAGATTCGGGTGCTCCCATCGTGCGCAAGTTGGTCATGTGGTCACCCAATTCTTTGATGGCTTTCACCTGCTCATTCAGGTAATGTGTCTCAATGAAGTCACACCAATGGGGCTCATTTTTGTCAGTGGCCAGTTTGTGCAGTTCCAGTAGTGAATGATTCACATTTTTTTCCAAATGTAAAGCACACTCCATCGCATTCAGCCCGCTCTCCCAGTCGTCATAGTCTGGTTTCTTCACATCCTGAAGGAAGATTCGGCCACCTCGTTGGTTCTGCAGCTTCATCAGTTTCTCGGCATGTTCCCTTTCCTCATGAGATTGGTGAAGAAAGTATTTGGCAAAGTTCTTCAAAGCCACATCATCGCGGTCAAAGTAGTAAGCCATGGACAGGTAGATGTAGGAAGCGGAGAGCTCCAGGCTGATCTGGCGTTGGCGGCGGCCTCTGAGTCTGGTGCACCTGCCAGGTGGACGCGGCCCTCACGGCGGAGGCAGGGGCCTGGGCGGTCCGAGGACGCGGTGAAGAGGTGACAGAGGCCTGGCTGTGGGCGGCCGGCTGGGATGGGGGGCGAGCGCGGGTTCCGTCCAAGCACTGTTGAAGCAGGAAACCCCGAGACTCTCGGTGAAGAACGTTTTTGACTGTACAATTTTTAAGCATCAATAAAGTATATCACGGAACTTCTCTACCAATCCATTCTGTAAACTTCCCAACCAGCCGTGCCTCTCCATCTAGGACACAGGCAGGTTTTTGTTCCAACTCACAGTGTGACTGCCCTGGTTTCAGTATCCACGGTGAATGAGAACCGCTGAGACACAAGTGCTGGGAATTAAAGCAGCATCTACTTAAAAAGCAGGCTCTTCTAATCAGTGAGAAGAGTCTCCAGAGATGACACGCGGAAGGCACTGGGGGAGAGCGGTGCTGAAATGTCTGCATAACTGTGGTCCTTCAACACCAGCAAGGAGAAAACAGATGAGATAATATCGCTAGCTCTAGCAGATGAATCAACTGTGTCTTGTTACTAGATTCGAGAATTCAAAGATATGACGGAGAATATTAAATGTCTGAAAAGGACCAAGTGAAGCTGCTTGAATCATTTTCCCTTCACAGTTTGCACTAGAAACGAGTTTTCTTTCCCATTTTCCAAAATCATTACAATTTTAGCACTGTCAAGAAAAAAAAAAAAAACGGACTTATGTTTTGTACTTTTCACAGTGTAGAGGATGATGCCGAGAATAAATCGTTTCACTGTGGGAGTTACATTTACTAGAAAAATGAAGCTATGGCTTTCCACTTTAAGACAAAGAGAGGGACATACAGAAAAAAGGGCAGCACGCTCAGGGGCTATAGGGGTGTGAGTTCAAATCCTGGATTTCCACTTCCTAGCCAGGTATCTTTGGTGAGTCATTTAACCTCAGAACCCACTTCACAGGACTATTACAAAGCTGTGTGTGTGTGTGTGTGTGTTGCTCAAAAATATTAGCCAGTACTTAGTACACACCTAGTAGTTGTTAACTACTACTTCAGAGAGTTCTGTGGATGGCATATACTAATGATTTGGTTAAAAAAATAAAGAATAAAGACAGTTAATTACTTCAAAATTATTATATGACTATCACTGTTAGGTGGGAGGGGATAAAATGAGGAACTACAGAGATGACTAAATTTACAGCAAATGTCCTGGCCTGGTAACCTAGAGGGTCAAATTGAGAGGAAAACCAGGTTGCCTCTATCATAGTCCAATATTTTTTCATACTCCATCAGATTCCGCTTTTTGCAATATACTATGGAAGCGAGAAAATAAGAAATATTCCAGGATACAGTCACAGATGTACAATACAGCTTATATTTTATCTTTTTCCCAAAAAAGAAGAACCTCATTCTGCCTGAACAACAAAAGGTTAAAGATATATTGGTGGACAGCATCTAGAAAGGAAAACACAGCCAATCTAATTCAGAAGAAACAGATTGCCCTGAACATGACAGCGTCCATCAGAAAGGGAGCTGTACCCTCCACCCAAATGTGTGCCAAACACAGACATCTCACATCCCTCTAAAAACCGAAAAGGGGTACCAGTACTGTGAGGGTCATTTTCTGGAATTCATTAATTGAATCATGAAGGGAATTAGGTCAAAATACTCATACCTCAGAAAAGGCTGGGTCCGATACACTAGGCTAGCCCACAGCAAAGACAAAGAAAGCACGACAGACATTTCCAGGACTTGGTGTCTTTGGAAAGAGAGAGACTCCAGCCACAAGCTTAGCAATGTACCATCCGGATGAAGGAAGTGAGCATGGTCTCTCCCTTTGTCATCTGAGTGATGTGTGATTAAGCTGAATAGAGACACAGAGTCAGTGATGTTACTAGGAGGAAGCAACGGAATGTCCAGTGACCTAAGGTGCTATACGTGAGAGTTCCAAGTGTTCCAAAGAAAAACCTGGCCCAGGACAGTGGCTCACACCTGTAATCCCAGCACTTTGGGAGGCTGAGGCAGGTGGATCACCTGAGGTCAGGAGTTTAAGACCAGGCTGGCCAATATGGTAAAACACTGCCTCTACTAAAAATACAAAAATTCACCACACGTGGTAGCGGGAAGTCCCAGCTACTTGGGAGGCTGAGGCAAGAGAATTGCTTGAACCCGGGAGGCAGGCTGCAGTGAAGGCTGAGGGTGCAGTGAGCCAAGATGGTGCCACTGCACTCCAGCCCGTGCGACAGAGTGAGACTTCATCTCAAAAAAGAAAGAAAAGAAAAGAAAATGAAAACCCACAACAGAAAAAAAGTTTCTCTTTCTTCAAAACAGTCCCTCTTCTGACCTTCCCTAGGTCTTACAGAAGAGAGCATAAAGAAGTCTTAGATCAAATACTCATTTATATCAGAGACTTCTAAGTAATTACCTGCATCTATAGGATATACAGAGTTTAATCACATACCCTTGAAAGACACACTCCACTAAACAAAATTATAAGCACACCTCATTGTATGTGCTGGGTTTCACTCTGCTGATTTTGCATTTACTACAAGTTGAAGGTTTGTGAATCCTTTGTTGAGCAAGTCCATTAGCACCATTTGTCCAATAGCGTGTGTTCACTTCATGTGTCTGTTGTCGCATTTTGGTAATTCTCACAATAATTCAAACTTTTTCACTGTTCTGTGTGGGATGGTTACCAGTGCTCTTTGATGTTACTACTGTAATTGTTTGGGGGCACCATGAACGGTGTGCATATGAGACAGTTAACTTCATCAATACATGTGTGCATTCTGACAGCTTCACCAATTTCATTCCCGTCTCTCTCCCTCTCCTCAGGCCTCCATATCCCTGAGACACAGCAGTATTGAAATTAGCCCAGTTAGTAACCTCACAATGGCCCCTGAGTGTTCACGTGAAAGGAAGAGTTGCACGTCTCTCGCTGGGATTCAAGAGCTAGAAATGATGAAGCTCAGTAAGGAAGGCATGTCGAACACTAAGATCAACTGAAAGACACGTGTCCTGCACAAAACAGTCAGCAAAGTTGTGAATGCGAAAGAAACGTTCTTGAGGGAAATTAAAAGTGCTACTCCAGTGAACACACAAATAATAAGAAAGTGAGACAGCCTTATCGCTGATACGGAGAAAGTTTGAGTGATCTGGACACAAGATCAAATAAGCCACAACATTCCCTTAAGCCAAAGCCTAATCCAGAGGAAAGCCCTAACTTGCTTCAATTCTATGAAGGCTGAGAGAGGTGAGAAAATGACAGAAGAAAAGGTGGAGAGTAGCAGAGGTTGGGTCATGAGGCTGAAGGAAAGAAGCCGTCTCTGTAACATAAAACTGCAAGGTGAGGTTGCAGCAAGTTATCGGGAAGATCTAGCTAAGACGATTGATGAGGGTGGCGACCCTGAAAAGCAGACTTTCAACGTAGATGAAACTGCCTTATACTAGGAAGAGATACCATCGAAGACTTCCATAACTAGAGAAGAGGTCAATGCTTAGTTTCAAAACTTCAAAAGACAGAATTACTCTCTCGTCAGGGGCTAATGCCAGCTGGTGACTTTTAAGTAGAAGCGAATGTTCATTTACCATTTAAAAAATCCTACAGCCCTTAAGAACTGTGGTAAATCTGTACTGCCGATGCTTGACCATGGTAATAACAAAGCTTGGGTGACAGCGTATCTGTTTATAAGCATAGCTCACTGAATAGCTGAAGCCCACTCTTGTGACCTACTGCTCAGGAAAAAGATTCCTTTGAGAACATTACTGTTGATTGACAATGCACCTGGTCATCCAAGAGCTCTGATGGAGACGTATAAGAAGACGAATGCTGTTTTCTTGCCAACTAACACAAAATCCAGTCTGCAGCCCACGGGCCAAGGAGTCATTCAACTTTCAAGTCTTATTATTTAAGAAATACATTTTGTAAGGCTATAGCTGCCATCAATATTGATTCTTCTGATGGATCTGGGGACAGTAAACTGAAACCCTTTAGGAAAGGATTCACTATTCCAGACACCATTAGGAACATTCATGCTTCATGGAAGGAAACCAAAATATCAACATTAACAAGAGTTTGGAAGGTCGATTCCAATGCTCATGGATGACTTTGAGGGGGTCAAGTCTTCAGTGAAGAAAGTAATCAGAAACAAAAAACAAGACATTACAACTGATACCACAGAAATACAAAGGATAATTAGAGACTGTTATGAACAACAATATCGACAATGCTGACAAACTGAAAAACCTAAAGGAAATAAATTCCTGGACACACATAACCTACCAAAATTGAATTAGGAAGAAGGAGAAAACCTGAAAAAATCAATAATGAGTACTGGAAGTCTTAGCCAGAGCAACCAGGCAAGAGAAAGAAATAAAGGGCATCCAAATTGGAAAAAAGGAAGTCAAATTGTCCCTCTTTGTGAATAACATGATCTTATATACAGAAAAACCTAAAGACTCCACGAAAAAACTCTTTGAACTGATAAATGAATTCAGTAAAGTTGCAAGAGAAAAAATCAATATACAAAACTATACACCAATAATGAAGTAGTGAAAAAAGAAATTAAAAAAGCAATTCCACTTACAACAGCTACAAAAACCTAAATAAAATACCTAAGAATAAATTCATTGAAGGAGGAGCGAGAACTCTAGAGGGACAACTATGAAACACTGATGGTAGAAACTGAAGAGGATACAAATGGAGATGTCCCATGCTCATAAATTGGAAGAATTAATTTTGTTAAGATGACCATGCTACCTAAAAGCAATCTACAGATTTAATATAATACCTGTCAAAATACCAAATCACACTCTTCACAGAAATATTTTTTTAAATCCTAAAATTTGTACAGAATCACAAAAGACCCTGAATAGCCAAAGCAATAATGAGCAAAAATAACGAAGCTGGAAGTATCACACTACACCTGACTTACAAATTTGCTACAAAGCTATAGTAGCCAAAACCACGTGGCACTGGTATAAAAACAAACACAGAGACCATTAGCACAGAACAGAGAACCTAGAAATAAATACACATATTCACAGCCAACCAATTGTAAAACATGCCAAGAAACCAGACTGAGGGAAAGAAACCCTGCTCAATAAATGGTATTGGGAAGATTGTACATCCAAAGCAGAAGAATGAAAGGAAACCATTATCACTATATACAAAATTAAACTCAAAATGAATTAAAGATTTGAACATAAGACCCAAAACTATAAAACCACTAGAAGAAAACACTTCAAGACATTGGTCCAGGCAAATATTTTATGGCTAAGCCCTCAAAAGTACAGCCAACAAAAATAGACAAACGGCACTATATTAAACTAAAAGGCTTTCATACAGCAAAGAAAGCAATCAAGAGACTGAAGAGACAATCTATAGAAGGAAATATTTGCAAATTATAAGTTCAGCAAGGAAATAATATCTGAAATATAATCCAATTAAAAAGTGGGCAAATGATATGAACAGAAATGTCTCGAAAGAAAATATACAGGCCGGGCACAGGGGCTCACGCCTGTAACCCCAGCACTTTGGGAGGCCAAGGCGGGTGAGGTCAGGTCAGGAGTTCGAGACCAGCCTGGCCAACATGGTGAAACCCCATCTCTACTAAAAATACAAAAAATTAGCCGGACGTGGTGACGCACGCCTGTAATCCCAGCTACTCAGGAGGTTGAGGCAGGAGAATTGCTTGAGCCTGGGAGACGGAGGTTGCAGTGGGCTGAGATCACACCACTGCACTCCAGCCTGGCTGACAGAGTGAGACGCTGTCTCAAAAACACAAACAAAAAAACAAAAACAAAAAAAAAAGAAAGAAAAA